GTTTATGCATTTTGTGATTTTTTTTTATTCTTGTAATTTGATTTCCTTAAAGTGAAAGTATACTTGTGTCTAGTAATGTAAATAAATTAGAAATGGTGATGCCTAGCTGAGTAATGGTGTGAATATAACTATGCCTTTAAGCACCTTAAAAGTGTTGCAAATTTTGGCTTTGTAATATCATGTTATTGTATTAGACAAGGTAAGACATCCTTAACCATCTAAATTTTGAAAAGAACTAGATTTATTTAATGCTTTACTGAATTGTTTGATATCTCAGCTTATAGTCATTTATATAATAAAAACTAAAGGCAGTCATAATGATGTCAAACTGTTCTACCTACAGGATATTGTTGCCAGAGAATGTGGAAACAATGACTATCCCATAAAAGGATTTAAAATGAACCTTAATTTGGATGGTGTTAGTAGTAAGAATTGTTTAAAATGAAAGATATGATAAAAATCTTACATTTGGGCCCTCCGTGGTGGCACAGTGGGTTAAAGCACAGCACTGAGAAGCTAAAGCCACTTCCGCATGAGTTCAATCCCCGCCTGCCCCAGAGGAGATCCACATAGCAGGCAGACCTCTCCTTACCCGCCTGCTGCTCCCCTCAGCAGTGTACTTGGTCGATCTGCCTGTTCTGCTCCCCTCTCTGTCTCTGGTGAATCCTCTCACCCTCCACATCTCTTGGCCTGTACCCCAGTTCCATACGAATAAATAAATAAATCTTTAAAAAAAATCTTACATTTATCAAAATTTAAGTTCATTAAATAACAATTTTATAGCCAATAAAGAGCAAATTTAATGACTTAAATTTTTTTCAATAATATAATAGCTTATTTTTACATCATTTTGTGCCTTTTTCCATCTCAGTTGTAATCCCTGTGGGTTTCCCATCACCAAATCACCCGTGTGCTGTCACCATAGTCCAGTGCATTTCCTACCCACCCCCATTTTTGATCCCATTCCCCACTCCACCCCCTGTAAAATGTCTCTGGTATATAGTTCCTCATTCTTCTTCTTTTTCTTCTTCTTCTTATTATTTTAATTATTATTATTATTATTTTCTCCCCTCATATGACTTAAATTTTAAAAAGGGAAAATATGCTCAAACTGGAGTAGAAGGATTAGATTTCATAGAATGATCCTCCTCAGAATGGATTTAACATTGATATAATATTAAAAACTCATTCATTTATAAAGATTTATCCTACAATAATTTGTAATTGCAGAGATATCTCCTCACCCATCTGGTCACCAAGCTCCTCACCCACTGGTAATAATCATGATGCATTTATCAAAACTAAGAAAATGGGTAAAGTAACTATTACACTACAAGCTTTATTTATATTTCATCAGTTTTCTCACTAATGTCCTTTTTCTACTTTAGTATGGAATCCAGGACACCATACTGCATTAAGTCAGATGCCTCTTTCATTTCTGAGGCTGTGTTTCCAATCTTATCTTTCATGATTTTGGAGCTTTTGAAAAACACTGGTGAGGAATTTTATAGTACATCCCTTAATTTGGCTTTACTTCATGCTTTCTTAAGATTAGAGTGAGGTTCTTGGTTTTGGAGAGAAATATAGAAGCGAGACATTCTTATCACATCAGGTACATGGTATCAGGTATTAATGGAGCTAAGTGTAGAAAATTTACGATGGAGGCATTACATGACCAGAAACTGGAGGAGAGGTTGAAATGATTAACACAGTTGTTAAGCCAGCTATAGACATGAAAAATCCTTTGGTGCTAACTGCTATAATAAGTATCAGACTAGCGGCACAGACCAGAGGTGGAGATTTGGATATTTACAGCCATTGTAGTCCTTCAAATCTATCTTATCACACCTAGAAGTTACCGAACAGCAGTCAACAACTCCAGAAAGGAATGAACCCTCCCAAAGAGAGGAACTCTATTAGTGCAATTTCTGCCCTGACAAAAGGCAGCTCTCTTCACACCTGTGTCTCTGCAGGCATCCCTTTGTTAAACCTACCATTTCCAAACACAGTTCTCATTCCAAGATTGTCTGCCTGTGACTATGCAGGTGTTTCTTTTCACAAACCTGTCTCTTTCAGGAGCAGCTCTTTTCTGTCTGCTTGTGTTGTGTCTATGCAAGGATTTTGTCCCTTTCTTTTCCCTTTTATTGTAAGAAGTAACCCTGCTCTCTTACATATAACTAAACATCTCTGACACATGGGGAGACTTGGCTTGTGCTGCTGCAAGTGGAGCTCTGGTGAAACTTTCCTCAGAGGCAACCCAAGGAGACCCTTTTCTTCCCAACACCTCTCCTAAGCAACATCAAACATAACTTACCTTGAGGATGGTAACTTGGACATGAAATAGGGAAGAGTCACATTTCTCTATGGAATATTTATCTTTGTTCTCCATATACATACTTTTCCAGTTACAAAATCCAACCTACAGCCAAGTGGTGAAGTATTAAGCTTTAACGTCAGGAGGTAGGTGAGGTATCTAAATATATTATTTCGAATTTTTCTGTATGGAAGATTCCCACTTCTGTCATTTACCTATTTATTTGACCATTTATTTATATCAGTGTGGATTCACTGGTATTGATTTTATTCATTAGGCTTCATTAATATTATCATTATTTTGTTACTTCAGCTTTGATCATAGAAACTCATTCTGATTGATTTCTGTATCATTCTGACATGTCTCAATTTTTCTTTACAACTTTTTTCACTTTCTGATACTATAAGATGCTTCAGGCTCATCTTGTATTTTTCCTACCCTAACTCTAGAATCAGTATTTTTTTTTTTTAAAGATTTTTTATTTGTACATACATAACTGGGGTACAGGCCAGAGGCTCAGGAGCAGTGAGAGGCTTCACCAGAGACAGAGTGGGGAGCAGAACAGGCAGATCGAGAAGTACACTGCTGAGGGGAGTAGCGGGCGGGTCAGGAGGTCTGCCACACCATGTGGTCACCTCCAGGGAAGGTGGAAATCGAACTCTTGCGGAAGTGGCTTTAGCTTCTTTGTGCAGTGCTTTAACCCGCTGCGCCACCAGGGAGGGCCAGAATCAGCATTTTTTTTTTAATGAAAATCTTATTTATTTAATTTATTTATTGAGAATAGAATCTTGAAAGTAAAATCTGGGCATGAGATGGGCTTATTGCTACTTCTAGGACCATCAAGTAGGTAGAACAAATGAATATTATGTGAATATGCACATAAATCTATATTTATCTCTAATGCTACAAGTTTAATATTAGCCCTCTCTTTTGCTTATTTGTAACTTCTGACAATAAGAAACTTACCTTCAGTGATCAACTACTTGTTTAGTTATGTGCCATTCTACTACATACAAGTTTCAGAATGATTGGCTTGTCCTCTGTTAGAAAAACAAATCAAATACAATATCTGTGTATAGTTACTTTTCTGCATTGTATTATTGTTTTTAGACTTTGTCCTGTCAACACACTGTTTTTTACATGGAGAGCCACACGTAAAAATAGAGTGAGACCTATATTTAAAATATAGAATGTAAAATGCCATCAAATCTTTACATTCACCACATTTGAATGACAATTTTGAGTACATAAAGTTAAATAAAATATATATTTAAACCCCTTTTTTACCTGATTTTTAAAAGTGTGACCACACTTTATATCTTAATAGGTAGCACTTCTTTATAACCATATACTGTATATCAAACTATTTTAAAAATACAAAGCATTCAAGGTTTGAAAAGGAATGCTAATAACCTACCCAGTGACCTCTAATCCCCACAAATTCAATCAGGCACACCTTATTCTCCTGCGTTCCTGAAATATCAAATCTCAAAAAGTTCCAAGTGACTTTTAATAAATAGATTTTATATCTTCCCATAGGAGATTGAGCAAGGAAAGAACTGGGAAAGTGGAGAGTAAAGCTTTAGATGGCTGTTGTAAATCTGACAGTATCAGATGATGTTAAAAAATAGTATCTTTTGATGCTCTAAATATGCCATAAATCTTAAGAACATTTCTGATTACTTATGGGCTCCAGTTTGGGGAATTTTTCTTCTTAGGTAAAAGAGATTCCTTGGTCCACTTTCCTTCCCATTGCAATGAGTTAGTATTGCTTAGTACTTCCTTCCTCAAACACTACATAGCGGCCCTCCCTGGTGGAACAACGGGTAAAAGTACAGCCTGAGAAGTTAAAGCTACTTCCCCAAGAGTTCGATCACCGCCTGTTCCGGAGGTGATCCACATGGCGTGGCAGACCTCTCCAGATACGCCCGCTACTCCCCCTCAGCAGTGTACTTCGTGGATTTGCCTGTTCTGCTCCCAACCTTGTGTCTGGTGAATCTTCTCACTGCCCCTCCACCTCTGGCCTGTATCCCAGCTCTGTATGCATAAATAAATAAATTAAAAAAACAAAAACAAAAAACGACATAGCATCCTAGCCTTTCTTTCTTTTAGCCTTTCTTCCTTTCTTCTTATGAACAAAGAAGTATTGGCTCCTTTTCTTTTTAAAGAAACGTGTGTGTGTTTGTGTGTGTATATATATATATATATATATATATATATATATATAATTGATTTAGAATAGTTATTATTTTGTAAAAATTAAAATCATTTTTCAAAAGATAACTACTAAAATAGAAATTGACTTCATTCTGAAATATCATACATTACATTTTTAAAGATACATTTTGAGGAATTTGAGTAATGTAGCACAAAATTTACATGCCCATTTTTTTTTTTAGAAATCCAAATAATAATATAGCAATCTTAAAGACAGTAATTATAATACTTACAAAAATATACCTGAATACCATGGGTGTATTCTATTATGATGGACAAGCAATTTTTAACTTTGATATAATGTTAAATCTAAAGTTATAAGAACTTCTGTTCATAGATATATATAATTTTCTAAAACTATTTTATGAGTTTTTGTTTGTAATTTTCTGAAACTAAGTTATCTGTAAGTTCTAACTGAACAGATTTCTGTCACAAGCATGCTAGCATGGGATAGTAAGTACATACTTACAATATAGAGAACATATCACAGGAAGCTCATTGACAGTTGCTAAACAGTTCCAATGTATTATGAAATTCTTGAGTTATTAGTTTTTAAATCTGTTGGGAAAGAAAAAAAGGAATGTTATTTAAATGTTCTGGGTATACTATATGTGATGCTAAGCAGTCAAAAGAAAATTTAAAGAAGTCACATATCTAGCAATTAGATCTTTCTGTTTGTAACATTGTGTCCTTTGCTAGGAGAAATTTGTGATTTCTTTTAATTTTTTGGAAAAGTGCTGTCAAACTACTTGTCATTTCAATATACATAGGATATACTGCTTAAAAGAATGAATGTCATAATTGAAACTAAGCATATTTCAGTCTTCTCCTTATTCTTTTTTTTAAGGGAGGGAACTTTGGTTCATAGCACTGTCTATGATTAAGGGAATAGGTTCTCACTTCCTCACATCTGCATCACTACAACACACCCAGCACCAGCATACCCATATTCCTTATCACATGCTACTGGCTCCCTGCTTTTATTATGAATTCCTCCTGCTCCTTAGCAGCCTCAATTCTACAGTCAAATTTCTATGCTTTGTTAGTTTTGTTTGTTCATTTGTTTTGTTTCTCTGTATCCCAATTATATATGGTACCTGTCTTTCTTCTTCTGGCTTATTTTACTTAGTATAATCTCCTAAAGTGCTGTCCATGTTGTTGCAGATGGCAAGAGTTCATATTATTTCGTAACTGAATAATATTCCTTCTTCTCTATGTTCCAAATCTTAATCCACTCATCTGTTATTGGACACTTAGATGGTTTTTATAACTTGGCTATTGTAAACAGTGCTGCCGTGAACATAGAAGTGCATATATCCCTTTGAATCAGTACTATTGCTTTTTTTTTAGATAAATGGAAAGGGGTAGAATTGCAGGATCATATGGTATATATTTTAAATTTTCGGAAACCTCCATAGTGCTTTCTGTAAGGTTGGAACTGTTTACAATACCACCCAACAGTGTGGTTTCCCATGATTCCGACCCCTTGCCAACATTTGTTGTTTTTTTTTTTTTATGTCACTCTCATGGGAGTGAAGTATTAATTACATCACTGCATTTTTGAATTGCATTTCCCTGATAAGTGATGCTGACATTTTTTCATGTAGTTGTACACCACATGTCTGTATTCTTTGGAGAAGTGCTATTTAGTTCTTCTGTTCGTTTTTTGATTGATATCTTTGTTCTTATTTAATTGTCTGAATTCTTTGTAGCTCTTCAATATTAGCCCTATGTGAGATTTGACGTGAAAATATTTTCTCCTGTTCTGTGGCGTATCTTTTTCAATTTCACTGTACAGAACCTTTTTAGTTTGATGTAATCCCTTGTTCATTTTGTTATTATTTTTCTTGCCTTTGGAGTCAAGTCCCTAAAGACATTCCTGATGCCAATGTCATGCGTATATATTTTTCTATCTCTTTTATGGTTTATGTTCATACATCTCAGTCTTTAATCTATTTTCATTTAATGTTTTTCCTATATTGTTCTATGTGTCTGCTTCTATTCTAATACCATATTGTTTTGATTATTATGGCCTTATAAATTAGGGTGAAGTCTGGGATCATGATACCTCAGTTCTTCTTTTTGTTTAAAATTGCTTTAACTATTTGTGGTCTTTCATGGCCTCATAGAATTTCAGTAATGTTTGCTCTATTTCCATGAACTCCACTGGAATTTTGATAAAGATTGTACTAAACCTATAAATTGCTTTGGGTAAGATGGAGATTTTGATAATGATAATTATTTCAGTCCATGAACATAGAATATCTTCTCATTTCCTTGTTTCTCCTTCTGCTTCTTTTGGCAATGTCTTATTTTCATTGAATAAGACTTTCAACTCATTTGTTAAATTTATTCCTAGATATTTAATACTTTTCCATGTTATTGTAAATGGTATTGTTTTACTGGTTTCTGCCTTTTTTACTTCATAAAATGCAACATACTTTTGTATATTATTTTGTAGCCTGCTGCATTATTGTACTGATTTATTATTCCTAATAGTATTTTTAGTTGAGGCTTTAGAGTTGTTGTTATTGGTGGTGGTGGTGTGTGTGTGTGTGTGTAAAATCTTGTTATCAGAAAATACTGAAAATTTTACTTCTTTTACAATTTGAATTCCCTTAAATATCTTTCTCTCACATAATAACTCCAATAGGACTTCCAACACCAAGAAATAAGATAAAAAACCCCTCCCCCCACCCCAATTATCTAACCCCACACCTTAAGAAACTAGGAAAAGGAAGAACAGGCAAATCCAAAGGCCAGCAGAAGGAAGGAAAAATAAAAATTAGAGAAGAAATAAATTAAATAGAAACCAAAAAGTCAGATCAAAAAACCTGACCAATGAAACCAAAAGTTGGTTCTCTGAAAAATACAACAAAATAGGTAAACCTTTACCTAGACTCAGAAATGAAATGGGAGAAGTTACAATACATACCTTAGAAATACAAAGCACCATAACAGATTACAACAAATTGGAAAAATCTTCCAAAGAGTAAATTGGCAAGAAATAGACAACTTAAACAGACTACTTATAAGCAAGGGAATGTAACAGTAATCAAAAGTCTCCCCAAAACTATAGCCCAGGACAAGGTGAGCTAGTAAGTTCAACCACACTTTCAGAGCAGAACTAGTATTGATCCTTCTCAAACTCTTACACAAAATTGAGGATAAAAGAATGCCCCAAACACAGTCTATGAGGCCAACATAATTATTAACAAAACCAAACAAGGCTAGCACAAAAATTGAAACTATAAACTAATATCCCTCCTTATGAACACAGATGCAAAAATCCTCAACAAAATCTGAGCAAATCAAATTCAACGATACTTGCTAAAAGATTACTGTGATAAATCTTCCTAATACAGGGCGACTGGTAACATCAAGGGAATCTTCTATAGAGTTGAGTAAAACTTCCAAAGGGGAAATATTGAGAGATATGCTTCATGTAATTTTTTAAAATGATTGCTGAACCAATTGAATAAAAGCAGCATACGTGATTAAGGAAAACACTATACAGTTCTTGTATGTATAAGAATAAAGGAAATGACTAAGTGGACCTTTTATTCATTTTATAAAGAGAAAAACAGTGGAGGACTCTGCATTATGTTGTTAGAAACATCTCAGATATATTCAAAATTGAATTCCATTAATATGAGTAAGTTCTTTCATTCAATTCACCAGCTATGATTGAAGGACATTGGATTTTGAACAAATAAAGACAGTTACTTTATGCAGTTTATAGTAATAAATGAGATTTTCTGCCAGAAAAGGTCATCAAGCCAATTCCTGTAGCTGCACTTTCAAAAGAATTTTATGACTGGGTCTTTAAGCTTTCCTTAATTCAACATACATTTTCAACATACATTTTTCTAAATGCATTCTGTGTAACAGCTGCTAGGTAGTATAGTTAAAAGGGTAGCTAAAACAGACTCTTGCCCTTGAAGGGCACATAGTCTACAGGAGGAAAGGAAGAAAGAGAAATGAAATTTGTACAAAAATGTCTGGTTAGGGGCACGAATTTAGCAGCATTCAATTTCACTTGGGGGAAGCTTAATAGAATAGTCTGTGCAAAGTGAATGTGGAATGACAACTAGGTAGAGCAGACTGAGCAAAGATAAGGAGGACAGAGATAATATGGTTTGGGACTAAAAAGCAATTTGACTTTAGTGGTGCAGAGAGATAGGCAGTGTAATGAAAGTACATGCAGGAGGCAGGGCAGGTCCATGGTGGCTGGCCATTTGAAGGCCCTTTGGTTATGTGGAGCTTGAACCTCATTAACACGAATAATAATATCACCTAGTAATTAAAAAGATCTAACTATATACCAAAATCACCTTTAAGGGATTTTTAAACACAGTGTCATTTAATCCCATCAACAAGACCATCAGATTTGCTTCCTGGTTCAGAGAAGAGGCATATGAGGCACAGAGAGGTAATTTGTCTAAGTTTATCCAGCTTATAAATGGGATAGCTGGACTAGAATACAGAACTATTGATCCCAGATCTTCACTTCTGGTTACACAAATCTGCCTCAGGCAATCAACTTGGAAAGATCTAGCTGCAATGAATTACTTCTGTATAACATACATGGAAAAGGAAGTACTTTTCTATCATAGTGCAGAATGTTGGTTTGCCCTTTATACTAAGTAGAAATGAAAACATGACTCCTGAGCTAAAAAGCCAGGTGAACAGGAAAGAGTAGGTAAAGGGAAAATATGTGTGATTCTTGAGCATTTTACTGGTGATAGCTGGTATAAAGGTCATCTTTGATCCACATCTTAGCAGAAGCTGGGCAAAGAAGTTGGCTATGGGAGAAGGTGTGATTTATGTTTATTTCTATAACTCCTTGGTTGCTTTAACTGTCTCGATTCTTTCACGGGTTGTGTATTCATTTTTTTCCCTTAGCCCTAATGTATTTGCCTTGGATAATGTGTCCTGGCCCTTATTTCTAATGGAACATGACACGGATCCTTGTGAACAGGAGAGAACAGGGTAAGGACTCATGAAGAGAGCTACCCTGGCTACTGCAGATTATTCTTCCTGCTGAGTTGTGGTAGCAGACAGGGAGTTAGTTCCATTAGGATTGGATCAATGTTATCAATATATATAAAATATATTTATGCTCACACTACAGGTTGGCAATTTTTATGATAACAGATATTTGAAATTGATTTTTTTCATAGTTATACATATATTTTATCATTTGAGATATTTTTCAACACATTTTTTGAGGGAGGGAGTATTGCTTTGTATTCTTAATACTTGCAGAACCCTTCAGGTCAAACTATTGAGCTTCTCCCTCCTGGGATTTATGTCGGTACAGGAAAAAGTCCTTGTTCTCTCTGGAGCTTCCATTTTACTCACAGATTTGGGGGGGTGGAAGAAATTTATTCTAAAACAAATATATATCATAAATAAAATATAGAAAGTACATATATTTTTAACCAAACATGTATTGAATCTCTACTATGGCAACTGAATTTCTAGTTACTGGGATTATGGCAATTATATTCATGGTAATTTCATGATGGCTAGTAAGAAAATAACATAATTTTAAC